TGTATGACTGTGTACACTATGTATGACTGTATACACTGCGTATGACTATGAGCACTACACATATACCATCCGTCATGTGTGTCTCCTGTCACATCACCTGTCATATGTGTCTCCTCTCCAGCACCACTACACGTCATGTGTGTCTCCTGTCACACCACCCGTCATGTGTGTCTCCTGTCACACCAACACCACCCGCCATGTGTGTCTCCTGTCACATCGCTCGTCATGTATGTCTCCTGTCACATCACCCGTCATGTGTGTCTCCTGTCACACCACCCATCATGTGTGTCCCCTGTAACACCACCCGTCATATGTGCCTCCTGTCCAGCACAACTTCTCGCCATGTGTGTATCCTGTCACATCGCCCGTCATGTGTGTCTCCTGTCACACCACCCGTCATGTGTGTCTCCTGTCCAGCAACACTTCTCGTCATGTGTGTCTCCTGTCACATCCACACCACCCGTCATGTGTGTCTCCTGTCACAACACCTTTCATATGTGCCTCCTGTCCAGCACCACTTCTCGTCATGTGTGTCTCCTGTCAGACCACCCGTCATGTGTGTCTCCTATCACATCAACACCACCCGTCATGGGTGTCTGCTGTCACACCACCCATCATATCTCTCACACAAACACCACCTATCATATGTGTCTCCTGTCACACCACCACTACTCGTCATGTGTGTCTCCTGTCACACAAACACCACTCGTCATGTGTGTCTCCTGTCACACAAACACCACTCGTCATGTGTGTCTCCTGTCACACCAACATCACTCGTCATATGTGTCTCAAGTCACACTAACACCATTTGATATATGTGTCTCCCGTCACACCACCCGTCATGTTTGTCTCCTCTCACACCAACACCACCCATCACGTTTGTCTCCTGTCACATCACCCATCATGTGTGTCCTCTGTCACGTGTGTGTGTGTGTGTGTGTGTGTGTGTGTGTGTGTGTGTGTGTGTGTGTGTGTGTGTGTGTGTGTGTGTGTGTGTGTGTGTGTGTGTGTGTGTGTGTGTGTGTGTGTGTGTGTGTGTGTGTGTGTGTGTGTGTGTGTGTGTGTGTGTGTGTGTGTGTGTGTGTGTGTGTGAGATAGCTATAGTCCACTGAGATACCATGCCGCAGTGGAAACCCCAACACCACCCATCGTGTGTGTCTCCTGTCACACCACCAATCATGTGTGTCTCTTGTCACACCACCAATCATGTGTGTCTCCTGTCACACCACCTGCCACGTGTGTCTCCTGTTACACAAACACAACCCATCATGTTTCTCCTGTCACAACACCCGCCACGTGTGTCTCCTGTCACACCATCCGTCATGTGTGTCTCCTGTCACACCAACACCACCCATCATGTGTGTCTACTGTCACACCAACACCACCCGTCATGTGTATCTCCTGTCACATCACCCGTCATGTGTGTCTCCTGTCACACCACCCGTCATATGTGTCTCCTGTCACAACTACACCACCCATCATGTGTGTCTCCTGTCACAACTACACCACCCATCATGTGTGTCACACAACATGCCTCGTGTGCCTCCTGCACACCACCCATCACGTGTTTCCTGTCACACCACCCGCCATGTGTCTCCTGTCACACCACCCGTCATGTGTCTCCTGTCACACCATCCGCCACGTGTGTCTCCTGTCAATCCACCCATCATGTGTGTCTCCTGTCACACCACCCGCCACGTGTGCCTCCTGCACACCACCCATCACGTGTTTCCTGTCACACCACCCGCCACGTGTGTCTCCTGTCACACCACCCGTCATGTGTCTCCTGTCACACCACCCGCCACGTGTGTCTCCTGTCAATCCACCCATCATGTGTGTCTCCTGTCACACCACCCGCCACGTGTGCCTCCTGCACACCACCCATCACGTGTTTCCTGTCACACCACCCGCCACGTGTGTCTCCTGTCACACCACCCGCCACGTGTGTCTCCTGTCACACCACCCGCCACATGTGTCTCCTGTCACACCATCTATCATGTGTCTCCTGTCACACCACCCGTCATGTGTCTCCTGTCACACCACCCATCATGTGTGTCTCCTATTACACCACCCGTCATGTGTGTCTCCTGTTACACCACCCGCCACGTGTGCCTCCTGTCACACCACCCGTCATGTGTGTCTCCTGTCACAACTACACCACCCATCATGTGTGTCTCCTGTCACATCAACCATCATGTGCCTCAGGTCACACTTCCCGCCACGTGTGTCTCCTGTCACACCACCCATCTTGTGTCTCCTGTCACACCACCCATCTTGTGTCTCCTGTCAATCCACCCATCATGTGTGTCTCCTGTCACACCACCTGCCACAGGCCCTCCTGTCACACCATCCGTCATGTGTGTCTCCTGTCACACCACCCATCATGTGTCTCCTGTCACACCACCCGTCATGTGTGTCTACTGTTACACCACCCGCCACGTGTGCCTCCTGTCACACCACCCGTCATGTGTCTCCTGTCACACCACCCGTCATGTGTGTCTCCTGTTACACCACCCGCCACGTGTGCCTCCTGTCACACCATCCGTCATGTGTGTCTCCTGTCACACCACCCGTCATGTGTGTCTCCTGTCACACCACCCGTCATGTGTGTCTCCTGTTACACCACCCGCCACGTGTGTCTCCTGTCACACCACCCGTCATGTGTCTCCTGTCACACCACCCGTCATGTGTCTCCCGTCACACCACCCATCATGTGTCTCCTGTCACACCACCCATCATGTGTCTCCTGTCACACCACCCATCATGTGTGTCTCCTGTCACACCACCCGTCATGTGTGTCTCCTGTTACACCACCCGCCACGTGTGCCTCCTGTCACACCACCCGTCATGTGTCTCCTGTCACACCACCCATCATGTGTGTCTCCTTTTACACCACCCGCCACGTGTGCCTCCTGTCACACCACCCGTCATGTGTGTCTCCTGTCACACCACCCGTCATGTGTCTCCTGTCACACCACCCATCACGTGTGTCTCCTGTTACACACACACCACCTGTACACATGTACATACTCTAAACAAGTTTAGGTCTCCACTTCTAGAGCTAACGTAAGTTTCCCTTTGTTTGACTGACTCCAGTAACAATCTCTGCCAATTAGAATTATGTATTTATGTGCCTAACGAGGAATATCTGCATTTCTAACTTTATCGGTTGATGTTGTTGAAATAGGAGAACGGATTACCGTACAGGGATGCGTTTCATTCGAAAGGTTATCACCATTGAAGAGATCAATCCTATCTGAAGGGACACCTGTCTCGAGAACAAATCCTGCAATGGCATTTGTAGTAGATTTTGAATATTGACAAAAAGGCATATGTTGAAATATGTTAATAACGTTAATGCGGGGTGTATGTGTGTGTCTCACAGTGATAGATGTAGTCCACTGAGATACCATGCCGCAGTGATACATGGAGACCCGAGCCGACCAGTCCTTGTTTTATCAGCCTATTGCCGAGCACCAGGCAGGGTAACAACAAGTACCATCTTTTAACGGTTTTGTTATGACGCGACCAAGGATCGAGCCACTCTCCATGTCATTCGTGACCAACTCGTGTTATTCCGGGACAAGCCGAATAGCGACTCGTGCCCCTGTCGTGACCATTTTTGTGACCGGGTTCCGTCTTAGCGCAAACGGTCTTACCTAAAACAATTGTCAACTCGTTTTGTAATGGTTCACATATATTTCCCCATATATCATATATATTTCAGATGCAATTTTAAAGCACATCGGGACATGCGGTACTATACAGTATGACTGAACACATTAAACTGTGTCTTTGGGATATTTTTAGATGCAAGACATATGTAAAATCAAAAATTATTTCTGAGGGATTCTTTGAACGAAGAAAATTATTCATACGCGCATTCTGATTGGTTTGTCGTATTTTCGCACAGAACATTCATCGATAGAGGGACGAGTCTTCTTGCAGGTTACGGAAAGGGGCGAATCGTGACGAATGTCTCCATGTATGCACTTCATTACTACATCACATCGAAAAAAATTAATTGTCGCCGAAAATTCTTGAAAATATGGTTTTAGTTTCACACTGTAGAACAAAACAAACATTGCCAATATTCAGACTGATAGTTTTAGATGAGAAAATATCTGGTTAGTAGCTTTCGCTGAAAAGATATCTTATCTTGGTTGACCTTATATATTTCTATGTGGTTAAGATCTGTCAATCGGGAACATGGTTGGCATCGTTTACAACGTGGGTAGTTAATGCACCAGGGTGTTGGAACATGCTTGACACTGGCACATGGAACTTATGTCCTGTAGTTTGTACATGACTGGTGTTTGGTTTGGTTCTCCTTGAACATGCAAATGTATTTCAAACCTGGGATGCAAAAGATTAAGTAACTTAACCACTGTTTAGAGTAACGACCTTAACGATTGTCTTAGCCTAACGACTCCCTGTATTCAAATACATGAACGATTGTCTTAGCGTAACGACTCCCCATATTAAAATACATTAACGATTGTCTTAGCATAAAGTCTCCCCATATTTAAATCCATTAACGATTGTCTTAGCGTAACGACTCTCCAAAATCAAATACCCTGACGATTGTCTTAGCGTAACGACTCCCCATATTTAAATACATGAACGATTGTCTTAGCGTAACGACTCCCCATATGAAAATACATAAACGATTGTCTAGCGTAAGGACTCCCCATATTCAAGTAACTTAACCAGTGTTTAGCGTTATGACTCCCTATATTAAAATACATTAACGATTGTCTTAGCGTAACGACTCCCTATATTTAAGCAACCTAACCACTTTTTAGCGTTATGACTCCCTATATTCAAATATCTTAACGACTGTCTTAGCGTAACGACTCCCTATATTCAAATATCTTAACGATTCTCTTAGCGATACGGCTGCTTGTCTATAAATATCGTAACCACTATTAAGCGTTACAAGTGCCGTATCTTCCAAACCTTAAATGCATTTACGAGTTATTGTTCGCACGTAGAGATAGATGGCTGCTATAAGTTTACTGTATCTTCAGAAAGTAGATGTTGCAGAAACTGATGCAGTTGTTCATTTCAGCGTCAGAATCACGATCGTCCAAGGCCTCGCCATTCTCATTGGTGCGTATGTTGCACAGTCGGATAAAGGTAATATTTGAAATTATTTTTACATCAGAACGTTTGTAAACTTTGAATAATTGAGTCATTATGATCAATATTACTGAACACATCAATAGTATCTGCGTGCGTGCGTGCGTGCGTGCGTGCGTGCGTACGTGCGTGCGTGCGTGCGCGTGCGTGCATGCGTGCGTGCGTGCGTGCGTGTGTGTGTGTGTGTGTGTGTGTGTGTGTGTGTGTGTGTGTGTGTGTGTGTGTGTGTGTGTGTGTGTGTGTGTGTGTGTGTGTGTGTGTGTGTGTGTGTGTGTGTGTGTGTGTGTGTGTGTGAAGGGTTTATATTTCCTGGTATCCGTGTATCTTCCACGATCGAAGAACTACTTTCCAAACAGAATGCCGAGAATCGGTCCGACCCTGAAGTCTCTGCATGTCACTCCGGTCCGCCAGTTTATAATTTATTCCAATTCCGAAGTCGCTATTTTGTATGCAACCCGTAGTGCCGTTCGTTGAGCAGGTGAAAATTTGGCTTAATTCTATCAGGTCAATATTTTCTGGAAATTCGAGTTGAATCAAAAACGTCTTCAGTGTCACCCTCGTCTCATTTCTTTACTACACACGATGTTAAATCCCCACAATAGTCTCATATGGACCAGTGCTACTGGTAGTCTGAATACTGTAGCTGCCGTATACAGCGAAATCCCTTGTGTTTGGGACCGCAGACATGTAGTACGGGTCCTTTATTTGTTAATCAGTGTATGTGGGCTCAGAGAGACAACCTTTGAGGCCCCAAATTGGTCTTAATCCAATCACTTAGTTAATTTGGATATTTGCTCATCTGGGTGACTTCAGTGGAGACCACAGTGTCCGGATTAATTTGGTTTAATTATTAATTGTATGTAAAGGGCCATGTAATACATGCAACGCTTTGCATCGTGTGCAATTCGGACAAACTTTTGACGTACTTGTAGGACACTTTGTTTGTTTGTTTGTTGTCCGGGGTAGAATAGTTCTTCAGTACTCCATGCTTGCCGTGAAAGGCGACTATGCTTGTTGTAAGAGGCGACTAACGGGATCGGGTGGTCAGGCTCGCTGACTTGGTTGTTGCATGTCATAATATCCCATTTGCGTGGATCGATACTCATGATGTCAATCACTGTATTGTTTGATCTAGACTCGATTAATTACAGACCGCCGTCATATAGCTGGAATATTGCCGTGTGCGGTGTTAAACAACAAACAAACAAACAAACAATCATTAGTCGGACAGTCGTTTATCTAGAGCACTGGGACGGTGCCGTTCGGGTTAACGGGGTTTCGCTATACATTGTTTCTGACGCTCGTTTAACCATTTTTTAGGTGCAGATACCAATTTCAACAGTTTCGTATTGGAGAAACCATCATCGATATATTTGTTGAATGAACAAAACGTCCCCGTTACCGGTAACAACGCCGTTGCTTTTAAGGTGGACGCGTGCAAAGGGATTGCTATTACATTCATGAGATATCACTCCGACCCCCATGCTCGATATATCACGGTGTATGTCAAACCGGATGGAGGTATGATCTATGATTGTACGGACAAGGAAAAGAATCCAAAATGTGCCCAAACCAGTAGAAAAAACGTAGTGGGAACTTTCTTCAAATGTGGCGAGGAATCGCAATTATGGTTCAAGTGGAGCCAGACAAACTACGGGGCGTTCGGAACAGGACTTGTTCCGGGAGAACACACAGTCTTGGAGTACCAAGGACAGAAGATAAACCAACCAATCAACTATCTTGGCGTTGTTCTATTAGCAGATAGCAAAGTCACTGTACATGTTGCTACAGGTTGTATGCCATTTTTTCTCTTTATTTGCTGGAAAATTAATTTCCTATACTAAATCACCAGTATTGAAGGCACACTTATAACGTTACTTAGAAAGTTAGAAAAAAATACTTAAAAAATGTTTATGGTAGACATATGGAGGACATTTTTTTAAATTTGAGTTGTGCCCCTTGTAATGAGATATCCAATCAGATCGCTGTTCTTAGCTCGTATGGGGTGAGGTGAAACTGGGTTTGACGTCGCGTCCAAGATTATTGCACTTATAAAGCGACGTGCATTTACGTGTGCGTGCGTGCGTGCGTGCGTGCGTGTGTGTGTGTGGCTGCTTGTACTAGCCCGGTCTGATGCCGATTGGCTTCTCAAAAGAATAGACAACGATCTAGTCGATTACATAACGAAAACATTCGTGATTTCATCCCCGACAGACAAACAAAGGCAATCGTTGAGCGGATTAAAGAATTGGGGAGAAATATTTCTAGTCAACAAAGATGGCCAGCAGTAAATCACTTTCATACGAATGTGTACAGGTCGTGTTTAATTACTGTTCTCATCATCGTACAACTTACAAGCACAGTACTTTGGCCATTTGATGTAAAAGTCCTTTTAGAAAAAACTTGTCTTCGCTTAATTGTTGAAATAACTTCAGCGCAAATTCGACAATCCATATGGCAGCGGCCATGATTAAGGAACCCGGATGTTGATTTTTTTCTGAACCGTCCTCTCATTGAACTATCGATATGTGCTACAGTCCAATCAGATTGAGCACTAGTAAGTAGGCTTGATGTGGCAAGGGTGGAAACTAACCTTGCCACCTAACCTCACATAAATAAAGGGGGCCTGACTGCAGCCTATTCACCTCACATAAATAAAGTCGGCCTGCCTGCAGCCACATCACCTCACATAAATAAAGTGGGCCTTCCTGCAGCAACCTCACTTTACATAGATAAAGTGGGCCTTCCTGCAGCCACCTCACCTTACATAAATAAAGTGGGCCTGCCTGCAGCCACCTCACCTCACATAGATAAAGTGGGCCTGCCTGCAGCCACATCACCTCACAAAAATAAAGTGGGTCTACCTTCAGCCACCTCACCTCACAAAGATAAAGTGGGCCTGCCTGCAGCCACCTCACCTCACATGAATAAAGTGGGTCTACCTGCAGCCACCTCACCTCACATAAATAAAGTGGGTCTACCTGCAGCCACCTCACCTTACATAGATGAAGTGGGTCTACCTGCAGCCACCTAACCTCACATAAATAAAGTGGGCCTTCCTGCAGCCACCTCACTTCACATAAATAAAGTGGGTCTACCTGCAGCCACCTCATCTTACATAGATGAAGTGGGTCTACCTGCAGCCACCTAACCTCACATAAATAAAGTGGGCCTTCCTGCAGCCACCTCACCTCACATAAATAAAGTGGGTCTACCTGCAGCCACCTCATCTTACATAGATGAAGTGGGTCTGCCTGCAGCCACCTCACCTCACATGAATAAAGTGGGCCTGCCTGCAGCCACCTCACATCACAGAAATAGTGTGGACCTGCCTGCAGCCACCTCACCTCACATGAATAAAGTGGGTCTACCTGCAGCCACCTCACCTCACATAAATAAAGTTGGCCTGCCTGCAGCCACCTCACCTCACATAAATAAAGTTGGCCTGCCTGCAGCCACCTCACCTTATATAAATAAAGTGGGTCCGCCTGCAGCCACCTCACCTCACATGAATAAAGTGGGCCTGCCTGCAGCCACCTCACCTCACATAAATAAAGTGGACCTGCCTGTAGCCACCTCGCCTCACATAAATAAAGTGGGGCAAAATCTTGGGAAAACTAAGTTTCACCAGTTCGGCAAGAGCCTTTTTTTATTTGCTGTATGTTGAAGACATGAAAATAGGATACATTTCAAACATCTGAACATGAATAATACTTAGGGATGAGACCTTCATTGACGAACGACAGATTCGCTGACGCCTTTTTTTGCAAACACGAAAAAATCGGAAATTGCTTGTAACAATTACAACAAAAGACGTTCCTCCAGATGATACAAGAAAACTGTATGTTCCTCCACATTGTAAAAGGACACTGTATGTTCCTCCAGATGATACAAAAACACTGTATGTTCCTCTATATGATACAAGAACACTGTATGTTCCTCCATATGATACAAGAACACTGTATGTTCCACCACATTGTACAAGAACACTGTATGTTCCTCAATATGATACAAGAACACTGTATGTTCCTCCATATGATACAAGAACACTGTATGTTCCTCCAGATGATACAAGAACACTGTATGTTCCACAAGATGATACAACAACACTGTATGTTCCTCCATATGATACAAGAACACTGTATGTTCCTCCATATGATACAAGAACACTGTATGTTCCACCACATTGTACAAGAACACTGTATGTTCCACAAGATGATACAAGAACACTGTATGTTCCACCAGATAGTACAGCATCACTGTTTGTTCCTCCAGATGATACAAAAACACTGTATGGTCCTCCAGATGGTACAACAACACTGTTTGTTCCTCCATATAATACAACAACACTGTATGTTCGAACCACATTGTACAAAAACACTGTTTGTTCCTCCAGATGATACAACAACACTGTATGTTCCACCACATTGTACAAAAACACTGTATGTTCCACAAGATGATACAACACTCTATGTTCCACAAGATGATACAAGAACACTGTATGTTCCTCCAGATGATACAACAACACTGTATGTTCCTCCATATGATACAAGATCACTGTATGTTCCTCCATATGATACAAGAACACTGTATGTGCCTCCAGATGATACAAGAACACTGTATGTTCCTCCAGATGATACAAGAACACTGTATGTTCCTCCAGATGATACAAGAACACTGTATGTTCCACCACATTGTACAAGAACACTGTATGTTCCACAAGATGATACAAGAACACTGTATGTTCCTCCAGATGGTACAACAACACTGTATGTTCCACCACATTGTAAAAGGACACTGTATGTTCCTCAAGATAATACAAGAACACTGTATGTTTCTCCAGATTGTACAAGAACACTGTATGTTCCACCACATTGTACAAGAACACTGTATGTTCCACCACATTGTACAAGAACATTGTATGTTCCACAAGATGATACAAGAACACTGTATGTTCCACCAGATAGTACAGCATCACTGTTTGTTCCTCCAGATGATACAAGGACACTGTATGTTCCTCCAGATGGTACAACAATACTGTCTGTTCCACCACATTGTACAAGAACACTGTATGTTCCACAAGATGATACAAGAACACTGTATGTTCCACCAGATAGTACAGCATCACTGTTTGTTCCTCCAGATGATACAAGAACACTGTATGTTCCACCAGATAGTACAGCATCACTGTTTGTTCCTCCAGATGGTACAAGAACACTGTATGTTCCTCCAGATGGTACAAGAACACTGTATGTTCCACAAGATGATACAAGAACACTGTATGTTCCTCCAGATGGTACAAGAACACTGTATGTTCCTCCATATGATACAAGAACACTGTATGTTCCACCACATTGTACAAGAACACTGTATGTTCCACAAGATGATACAAGAACACTGTATGTTCCTCCAGATGATACAAGAACACTGTTTGTTCCTCCAGATGATTCAACAACACTGTATGTTCCTCCAGATGATACAAGAACATTGTATGTTCCTCCAGATGGTACAACAACACTGTATGTGCCTCCAGATGATACAAGAACACTGTTTGTTCCTCCAGATGGTACAACAACACTGTATGTGCCTCCAGATGATACAAGAACACTGTATGTTCCTCCACATGATACAAGTACACTGTGTGTTCCTCCAGATGATACAAGAACACTGTATGTGCCTCCAGATGATACAAGAACACTGTATGTGCCTCCAGATGAAACAACAACACTGTATGTTCCACCACATTGTTCAAGAACACTGTATGTGCCTCCAGATGATACAAGAACACTGTATGTGCCTCCAGATGATACAACAACACTGTATGTTCCACCACATTGTACAAGAACACTGTATGTGCCTCCAGATGGTACAAGAACACTGTGTGTTTCCACAGATGGTCACAAATACTTGGTCATATCACATGATACAGACATCTTCTGTGGTCAAATTGATAGAGCATCTGCTCGGGAGAGCTAAAGATCGATGTTTCAATCCCCCTAAATCGTCATACCAACTTAGTTTAAATACGGCACTTTGATGTTACCGTGCCTGGCGCTCGGCATTAAGCGCATATACAAAATAAGGACACGCCGATTCTGACAGTATGAAGTGTCTGATTTGGGTTGCCATGTTATACTCTGGCATATATGTCAGTGGGCTAGCACTTTAAAACCGGTATATTTCTCAAATATAAAGTACAATCACACGTGCAAGCAGCCATACATACACGTGCATCCACGTCGCTATACTGTGAAATAACCTCATTTTACCTCACGTGTCCTCAACCCCCTTCATGCGATGCAAGGGGGCACGGGTGGCCCAGTCGTCTACGGGACCGCAATTCGCTGTGCAGAGTTGCGTCCCTTTGGTACGCCAGAAACCTGTGATTATGGATTCGCCCCAATTATGTTTTTAGGTTTTTCAGCACCATACCCGTGCTCGTGGGTTTCACCAAAGTGGTAAACGTCTAAGACCTGCCAGGCCGTGATATAACTGGAAAACTGTTAAAAGCGGCGTTAAACCCAACTCACTCACTCATTTGATACAAAGAGACAGAGTAACCAATTGTCAACGGCTAGTCAAACTATGTAAAAGATGTCATTAGATGATTGATTCCGGTTTCTGTATTTCAGAGAGAAGCAAAAAAAAATATTTCAAAATGTGATTTGTCACACTGATTGTATTTAGATAGGATACGATCTAAGAAAATCTAACCAACATGTCGTGAGCGGCGATTAACATTTTCCATTTTATGTCTTATATTTATTAATATAATTACATATTATTTTGTGCTATAGTTCAACCAGTTTTGCTCGACCCTCCGTCAGCCTTCCTAAGGCTGCCTGAAGACACCAAGGTGGGTACGCTCCTATACACCATCAACGGCCAGAAGACGAGTTACAAGTACAGTTTAGTGGACACTTCACAAACCCAGTTTTCGTTAGCCAAAGATGCTATCTCACTGAAAGCTAAATTTGATTTTGAAAAGAAATCAAGCCACCACTTGCTTGTGAGGTGAGGGAAACGTCGGTACACATGCATTATACCAATACGCCATGTTTGTTTGATGCTACTAACAAAGTATCTTGTATCTACTTTGGTAATTAATGATTTCATTTACTTACGAAAGCATTTAATTCAAGTCTTTGAGTGGTGGGCAAGCCCCCCCCCCCCCCCCCCCCCCCCCAAAAAAAAACCCTGTTGTTTTAGCGAGGCGACAAAACTCGCGTCTAAAAACATAGAAACCGTTACTGAGGAATGAGCTCGTGCACATCCCTTACCAAAATGGCGGAAGGTGTGCTCAATGATGACGTTAAACGTATGCATGGGTGTGTCTATTAAGCCTCTTTATAACGGTTTCATGGTCTCATAAATGCAAGCTTTCTCTTCCTGTGTTAGCAGTGTAGTTGTTATAGTGTTTGCTCATCAAGCTGATTAAGCACTATATTTGACGCCCAATATTTTTATACTCTTCCAGGGTTAGCGAAGGTCTCTCTACTGTCAATTTTACTTTATTCGTGGACGTAGTCAATGTCTATGACGAAGCACCAAAGATATCTCTGAAGTCATCTGTCTCAATCCCGGAGGAGCTCCCAGTCGGCACAATGATAGGTCAGCTGTTCACCGTCACTGACGCCGACCCAGGAGATACCCTGACATGCGCTCTAACAGGTAGGTCTCTAGTCGCATTTAGGTGTGACGGAACACTGCTTCTTGAAACTGTAAAGTGAATTCACATATATGGACATGTGTCCGCATTTCTATGGCGTGAAGCTGCCAGTCGTGTTTATATCGGTATACGCCAAAACTGGATACAAACTCGGCTAGCGTGATATAATAACTCTGGCTAATACGTTCTCTAACAAGTGCAAATGTAAGCTGATAAATCTAGGTACTGAACAGGGCCCCGTTCCACAAAGCGATCTTAGCGCTAAGACTGTCGTAAGTCTATGTTAAAGTATGGCAGTTACGATCGTCTTACCGCTACGATCGCTTTGTGGAACGGGACCCTGGAGACATATCTTGGCGGTCGGGATTACGTTAAACCCATGGTCAGAACAAGTAAATAGAAGCCAACATGTGTGGGACAAAGGTGAGTGAGTGAGTGAGTGAATATAGCTGTACGCCGCTTTTAGCACTATTCCCGCAATATCACGGCGGGGGACACCAGAAATGGCTTCACATGTTGTACCCATGTGGGGAATCGAACCCGGGTCTTCGGAGTGACGAGCCAACGCTTTAACGACTGGGCTACCCCACCGCCCCTGTTGGACATAGGACCAGATATACATTTTAATCATTTATGTGTTCTATGCCTTTCAAAAGTTCATGGCATTTACAAAATAGCCATTATTGAATAACATACATGTAAGAGTGCTGGTTCCGACAGAGACTGCATGGCAGACAAAGTAGGATGGCTAAAAATGATACAAACAAGAAATAGCTATTCGATGGTGATGTATTTGATACTCGTATCATTGTTGTGTTTTGGACTTTCAGTGTTTTGGTGACTGTTTTCTGCCTTGTAACGTTCTGACAACATTTGTACTTCATTTGTCAAATCCACTGTTCAAGTGTATACTCTGCAGTTTATCAATACGGTCACGTGACAATGTACATCGTGATGCGCCACGTCTTACAACACTCGGCATCAGTCGATCCGTTAATATCGTTAACTCCATAATATCGTTACCTGCGCATATGATATACGACGTCGGTGGAGGGCACGGAGGACAGGCGCTGCAATTCGCTTCGCGAAAAGTGCATATTGAAAAAAAAACAACGATCGTTAGAAACACATATTACCCACGTACAGATTCTGATCCCATGTTTGTCGGCGCGGTACCTGTGGCCCAGGGTTACACCAAACAAAACGGTAAACGTCTAAAATCGGCATCAACTCCCAGGAAGCGCGGCCTAGTCAAACCCACCCAGAACTTTTCGGAGAATGGTAAGACTCCCCAACACTGCAGCCTTCTGCATTACCCAGATTGTCAGAAGGGCTGTATTCCCGGTAGCAAACACTGGTACTCTTCCAATGTTAGTCAACAGATTGGGAGGTACCAAACCTACGGCACCGAGAACAATTGAGAGTCGGACAACTTGGTACTTGACATTTTGAAAGCGAGGTCCGCATATTTGCCATGCTTTTACTGTCAATCACATTAGCGTCAAAAGGGACAGAAGATTTAATGGTAAAAATTATTTTAGAGGTTTTATCAAAAAGGACAAAATAAGGTTTGTTAGCCTGGATAGGTTGGTAGTAGTAGTAGTAGTAGTAGTAGTAGTAGTAGTAGTAGTAGTAGTAGTAGTAGTAGTAGTTGTATAACTGAAATACTGTTCAAAGCGGCGTTAAACCCAACTATCTCCCAATAACGTCAGTGTTTGTTCTCTTATGACATATGACAATTCATTATTTTACTGTTCCTTGTCCATATAGGTCCCAACGCCAAATACTTCGAGGCTGTTAACTGTACCCTCAAGATGAAGTTGAGGATTGATCGAGATGGCGCCAATGGAGTCAAAAAGCTGGACAAGATAGGCCTTACAGTCACCGACATGGGCAAACTCTCGACCTCCCAAGCCTTTACTGTAGATATCGTGGACATCAATGACAACCCACCTACATTCGAGAAACCGATTTACATAATACCTATCGATGCAAAACCGACTGGTATTTATAAGCATGTTTCTATGTATGCTCAAAATGTTTTATGACCCTAGGGACCTAAAGATTGTCATTAAATTGAACATTATATGAAACAAAACCCATCATCCAAAACCGCATCATAAAGTAAATCCCAAATAAGTAACAGCATCCATACTCCTAGCGTTAACGTTTTCCACCTCTATGCCTACATTCCTTGTCATACTCGAGGGTCCATATTACATACGAAACACCCATATTCTCATCCACACCCACATTCTCACTGACATCCACAAACATGACAAAATCCACATCCACAATAACGCCTACACTCACGTCCTCCCCAAATCCAACAATCACATCCACACCAAGATACACCTGCATATCGATCCGCAACGACCTACATCCATATCCACATGCATCCATATACACACGCAGATCCACACCCACAAGCATCGACACCCACATGCATCCATATCTACATACACCCCCATTCTCATATATTCATACCCACAAACATATACAACCGAGTATAATTATATAATATCCACATGTATCCAAATGCATTTACACTCCACCTGCACCTAAATTCACATACATCCTCACCCACATACATCCTCACCCACATACATCCACATACATCCACACCCACATCCACCAACACCACATACATTCTCACCCACATACATCTACACCCACACACATCATCACCCACATACATTTTCACCCATACACATCCACACCAACATACATTCTCAACCACATACATCCACACCCACATTCATTCTCACCCACATACATCCACACCCATACAGATCCACACCCACACCAACACCCACACCCACACCCACATACATCCTCATACACAAACAGCCAAACCCACATACACCCACACCCACATACATCCTCACCCACATACATGTACATCCTCACCCACATACACCCACACCCACATACATCCTCACCCACATACATGTACATCCTCACCCACATACATCCACTCCCACATACATCCTCACCCACATACATGTACATCCTCACCCACATACATCCACACCCACATACAACCCTCACCCACATACATGTACATCCTCACCCACATACATCCACTCCCACATACATCCTCACCCACATACATCCACACCCACATACATCCACACCAACATACATCCTCACCCACATACATCCTCACCCACATACATCCTCACCCACATACACCCTCACCCACATACACCCTCACCCACATACATGTACATCCTCACCCACATACATCCACACCCAAGTAGTCCTAACCCACATACAGCTACACCAACATACATACACTGCCACATACAGCCACACCCACAAACAACCACACCCACATACGTCCTCACCCACATACAGCCACACCCACATACATCCTCACCCACATACATCCTCACCCACATACATCCTCACCCACATACACCCTCACCCACATACATGTACATTCTCACCCACATACATCCACACCCACGTAGTCCTAACCCACATACATGTACATCCTCACCCACATACAGCCACACCCACATACGTCCTCACCCACATACAGCCACACCCACATACATCCTCACCAACATACAATCACACCCACATACATCCTCACCCACATACATCCTCACCCACATACAGCTACACCCACATACAGCTACACACACATACAGCTACACACACATACATCCTCACCCACATACATCCGCACCCACATACATCCTCACCCACATACATCCTCACCCACGTAGTCCTCACCAACATACAACCACACCAACATACATCCTCACCCACATACAGCTACACCCACATACATCCTCACCCACGTAGTCCTCACCAACATACAGCTACACCAACATACATACACAGCCACATACAGCCACACCCACAAACAACCACACCCACATACGTCCTCACCCACATACAGCCACACCAACATACAACCACACCAACATACATCCTCACCCACATACAGCTACACCCACATACATCCTCACCCACGTAGTCCTCACCAACATACAGCTACACCAACATACATACACAGCCACATACAGCCACACCCACAAACAACCACACCCACATACGTCCTCACCCACATACAGCCACACCAACATACAACCACACCAACATACATCCTCACCCACATACAGCTACACCCACATACATCCTCACCCACGTAGTCCTAACCCTCATACAGCTACACCAACATACATACACAGACACATACAGCCACACCCACAAACAACCACACTCTCATACATCCACACCCACATACATCCGCATCCAGATACATCCTCACCCACATACATACTCACCCACATACATCCTCACCCACATACAGCTACACCCACGTAGTCCTCACCAACATACAACCACACCAACATACATCCTCACCCACATACAGCAACACCCACATACATCCTCACCCACGTAGTCCTCACCAACATACAGCTACACCAACATACAACCACACCAACATACATCCTCACCCACATACAGCTACACCCACATACATCCTCACCCACGTAGTCCTCACCAACATACAGCTACACCAACATACATACACAGCCACATACAGCCACACCCACAAACAACCACACTCACATACATCCACACCCACATACATCCGCATCCAGATACATCCTCACCCACATACATACTCACCCACATACATCCTCACCCACATACAGCTACACCCACGTAGTCCTCACCAACATACAACCACACCAACATACATCCTCACCCACATACAGCTACACCCACATACATCCTCACCCACATACATCCTCACCCACGTAGTCCTAACCCACATACATCTACACACACATACATCCACATCCACATACATCCTCACCCACATACAGCCACACCCACATACAGCCACACCCACATACAAACACACCCACATACATCCACACTCACATACATCCACACCCACATACATCTACACATCTCACATACACCCACATGCATCCACGTCCACATACATGCACATATATCCATACCCATACCAATATCTCACACACTCCAACTGTTTCCAATCGCACATTTTCATTCACACCCACATACGTACATCCTCGACCACATGCATCCACGATCACACAAATCCATGTCCACACATATCTACACTCACATCCATCCGTTCTTCTATACATCCACACCTAAACAAGAGACGTCATAAAGAGTAGATCCACACCCACTTACACCCACACCAATACACAACCACACATCTCACGTTCACGTACATCCTTTCCACACAAGAACCTATACATTTCCCCATTTACCATGAACACACCCCCACACCTTCACCCTCACATGGCAGGCTAGGCCGCGAGGTAGCCACGGAGTGTGGTCTATTTTTTGTTAATAGACCTCAGCACAATCCAGACCTAGCTATTACGTGATATTCGAGGTACATTGTACATGTATGTCTCGAGGTGTGAGACAGATACACCAGTTATAAGGCTGTCATCTCAGACACTCCCACTTGCACTCTGTTCCAGATCAGTGCATCCAGAAGATCACTGCAATGGACAAAGATAAGGATGGAAAGCAACTTTACGATGTAGAGTTGAGTATCAAAGATGGGAACAATGCTGGAGTATTCAATCTTGCTTCCGGGTGCATCAATGCTAACCTAGAGAAGATGATGGATCGAGCCACCCTACAGAAGGTGAAGGGGTCTTACAGTCTGCTAATAGAAGCAAAGGATAAACCAGCAACTGGAGTCATGCCGCTAGTAGCCACAACGACCGTGGTGGTCAAGGTACGTACGTCAGTGTCAGTCATAAAACATCCAGGCCACGTTTAACTTATGATCAAGACGACTAAACTCATATACTGAAAGGCAGACGTCTGACGCCCTGGGCCATGTTCAACTTACGATCAAGACGACTAAACTCATATACTGAAAGACAGACGTCTGACGCCCTGGGCCATGTTCAACTTACGATCAAGACGACTAAACTCTTATACTGAAAGACAGACGTCTGACGCCCTGGGCCATGTTCAACTTACGATCAAGACGACTAAACTCTTATACTGAAAGACAGACGTCTGACGCCCTGGGCCATGTTCAACTTACGATCAAGACGACTAAACTCTTATACTGAAAGACAGACGTCTGACGCCCTGGGCCATGTTCAACTTACGATCAAGACGACTAAACTCTTATACTGAAAGACAGACGTCTGACGCCCTGGGCCATGTTCAACTTACGATCAAGACGACTAAACTCATATACTGAAAGACAGACGTCTGACGCCCTGGGCCATGTTCAACTTACGATCAAGACGACTAAACTCTTATACTGAAAGACAGACGTCTGACGCCCTGGGCCATGTTCAACTTACGATCAAGACGACTAAACTCTTATACTGAAAGACAGACGTCTGACGCCCTGGGCCATGTTCAACTTACGATCAAGACGACTAAACTCTTATACTGAAAGACAGACGTCTGACGCCCTGGGCCATGTTCAACTTACGATCAAGACGACTAAATTCTTATACTGAAAGACAGACGTCTGACGCCCTGGGCCATGTTCAACTAACGATCAAGACGACTAAACTCTTATACTGAAAGACAGACGTCTGACGCCCTGGGCCATGTACACCAAAGCGATGCTAGTGATGAGACGGTTGTACGTTACACACTTTAGCATTGACATCTGATGTTGAAGCCCTAGGCCAAAGAGATCTTAGCGGTTTTTTCGACTATTGTGTGTATTAATTCATAAAGTAAACATAAACTGTGAGAGCTACGACGATGGCTTAATGTAACTGTTCACGGCGCAGCTTGCAAAACTGGTGTCAGTGCTTAATCGATTGTTGTATCATACACTTAGTTCACTTATTTTAGTCACAATTTTGGAGCTATGTTTGTATTGAGCAAATGAGCCCTGATTTAGAATATAAAAGCATCACTTTGGTCACTTTTCCATATTACTCGGTACAAATGTGACAACAAGAAACTTAGAACTTCATATAAGTAACATAAATGGTATGTTTATGGAACATCGTTCCATCTGATCCAAGACATGTTCAATTGGGGGGGGGGGGGGTAAAAGCAGCCGGCCATTGAAGGAACATACTTTGTTCTTGCACCATCTGGAGGGACATACTTTGTTCTTAAACCATCTGGATCAATATACAGTGCCCTAGTACCATATGAAGGAACAAACAGTGTTTTTGTACCACCTAAAGGAACAAACAGTGTTCTTGTTCCATCTGGAGGAACACACGGTGTTCTTGTACCAACTGGAGGATCAAACAGTCTTCTCTTGCCATCTTGAGGAACATACAGCGTTCTTGTACCATCTGGAGGAACATACATTGTTCTTGTACCAACTGGAGGGTCAAACAGTGTTCATGTACCAACTGGAGGAACATACAGTGTTCTTTCTTCCAAATGATAGCCGTGGTATCTTGGACATTTGTCCGAATGCTACAGTATACCTACGAAAGTATATGTTCAAGTATTGTTAAAGTTATAAGCATAGAGACCGACCATATATATAACTTACTTGGGGAAGTTCGAGCGGGGATATTTGCAGAATATTGTTCATGGAATTACTAGTATTTCCTTCAAAGAAATTCAAATGCTCGTTCCCTTAAGAATGTTTTTTTTGTAAATTATGTAAGGTCTCGTCTGTTGGGTCGCCGGCCCCGAATGGCAAGAAGACCGACGGTGCGGCCAATCCGAACAAGCTGGCTCCTGAATGGGTAAAGCCTATTCCTGTGAGGGGGAAGTTCAAAACGGTGAAGGTATCCGAGACGGCAAAACCAGGATCCGTTGTCTTCCACGTTGAAGCTAAAGATCAGGACTCTGGCTTAGGAGGGAGGGTTGTGTACGGCTTCAGTCCAAAACTATCAAGTAAGTCACAGAGATCCCCCGCATGGAACACCTCTCATGCTATGTATGTAATTACGTTTTTCACTTGTCAGCATAGTACATTTCTTCTAATTATTTAAATTATAGGTTTAAGGAATATTCCACAATATCTACAATTCAGATATAATCGTTGGTACATAGCGGACTACTAAACACTCACCATTTTGACAGGCGGCCGCGGCCTACAACCAGGCATGGAGTTGAACTCGATACAGACTTGAACAAGAGATAACATCGTGCCGCAAAAATAGCTGAAACGCAAGCAACGCAAATACGAGTATACTGAAAATTAATATTCGCTACTTAATAACCTATCTTTCAAGCAGTCGGATATATGAACATATATAATTCTAAACTTGAAAAGAACTTATACATAAGGCAAATAAATGGCAACTTTTAGAGCGCCCTGCTATAGCTGGGGAAGTTATAACACAAGTTTGAAACTGTAACACAACTTATTTTACTATGATACAAGTTTGAACTAATAGAAGTTGTCAATTCTATCACAAGTTTGAAACTGCATAACAAGTTACCGACTACAACACAACTTTGAAACTTGATCACAAAGAAAAATACTATAACACAAGTTGGAAACTGCAACACAAGTTACTTATTATAACACGTGTTGGAACCTGAAACACAAGTTACGATATCACAAAATGGAAACTGCAACACAAGTTACTTCATATAAAACAAGCTGAAAACTGCTTCACAATCAGTAAACTATAACACAAGTTGAGAACATTTCGCAGGCCGCAATTCAAATTTCATGAATTGTTTCATAAATGGTTGTATAGAGAAATTAAATAAATGTTGCTACTTATGGGCATAGATTTAATTACCTGAAAAGATTAATACCCGAGAGTGATGACATGTTGCTATCTTACAATCAATATTCAGACATTTCGAAGCATTGCACTCAGAAATTCATGTTTGTTGTAAGAACCGACTAATGACGATTAAGGAATTGCAATGCGTTGTGTGTCATCGTACACCTTGTCGGACCATCATGACATCGCAATGTGTGACCTGGTTGAGTGTCATCGTACACCTTGTCGGACCATCATGACATCGCAATGTGTGACCTGGTTGAGTGTCATCGTACACCTTGTCGGACCATCATGACATCGCAATGTGTGACCTGGTTGCGTGTCATCGTACACCTTGACGGACCATCATGGCATCGCAATGTGTGACCTGGTTGCGTGTCATCGTACACCTTGACGGACCATCATGGCATCGCAATGTGTGACCTGGTTGAGTGTCATTGTACACCTTGTCGGACTATCATGGCATCGCAATGCGTGACCTGGTTGAGTGTCATCGTACACCTTGTCGGACCATCATGACATCGCAATGTGTGACCTGGTTGAGTGTCATCGTACACCTTGTCGGACAATCATGACATCGCAATGTGTGACCTGGTTGAGTGTCATCGTACACCTTGTCGGACCATCATGGCATCGCATGTTCCTGACTCCCCTTCTAACCCCCTTGTTCGATTTCTTAGATTCAGCCTTGACAAAGCTGTAATAATGCGGCGAAAAACAACATACACTTACCATGTTTCTTGTGTTCACAGAGAGTAAAAATGCGAAGCAAAACAAAGCTGGGATGTATTTGACGATGGATGCCCTGACGGGTGATCTCCGTGTGGCCATGCCTCTTGACAGGGACAAAAAGTCGGGAGGAGTGGCCAACTTTAAAATATACATATATGCTAATGACAGTGCCACGCCCCACAAATCCATTAAGGCTTGGGTCACCATAAGTATCACAAATGAAAATGACAATCCACCTTCATTTGACAAGTCTCTGTATGATACAAGCTACGGGTGTAAGCACAAGCATGAAAAGGAGATATTATCGATGTCCATATTGGACTATGACAAAGATCCAATCAAGGCGCCAGTGTTGGGTGGCAAGGGAAATGAAAACTATGGTATTTACAAAACTGGTCGAAATTATCTCTTGAGAGTAAAATCGGATTCCAAGCGGGATCAGCTAAAAGATGCAATTGACGTGGTCACTGTGAACGCTACCGACGGCAAGTATACTTCCACGGCTATCGTAGTTGTACGGTTTCAGAGCTGCGCTCCAGACCCGACGACAGTCAAGCCAACTACATCTAAGCACGCCCCAACCACCTCTGTAGTGAAGCATCCAGTGACACATATCCCCAGTTCTACGTCTACTGCAGTTCTGACTACCACGACAGAGGGCACCACGACGTCAACACGCGCCACAACTTCTACGACAGAAGTTGTGTCTACGACTGGCGAGGCATTCGTCACGTTATGTACCACAGTGAGGAAAGAGACACTCCCTACAACGCTTGCCACTGAGCCGCCCACAACCAAGACATCAACAGTAACAGAGGCTCCAACAACAACACCCACAACTACAAGAAGTACGAAGCAAACGACCATTAAAGCCTCTACAACTATGACAACTACAACTACAGCAACAACAACAACAACAACAAAAACCACAACAACGACAACAACAACAACAACAACTTTACCAATTACGATTCGTAGAACATTCGCCCCCAAACCTACCTCATCGCCTCTTCCCTGCTGCGACTGTAGCGGTAAGTCTCTCTCGCATTGTTGACGGTATGATACTCTCTCTCAGATGTCAGGCTCTCTCTCTCTCTCTCTCTCTCTCTCTCTCTCTCTCTCTCTCTCTCTCTCTCTCTCTCTCTCTCTCTCTCTCTCTCTCTCCCTCTCTCTCTCTCTCAAATCTAAGGCCTGCATCACTTCGGGCTTTCCTCACTTACTCACTCACTTACTCATATGTAACACTCTTCTGTTTTTATTTTCAGAACTCCGTCGTGTGAAGACGTTATATACAGGTAATGCAACTAACATATGTCAATTAGGCCTCTTCCAGTTTGTAACAATTTCGTAAATAACGTTCGATAACTCGCTTTCTGTCATATGTCAAAATACCTGGCGCATGTTCAACGTCTCACTGGATAATTACTTAAGTCTACAAAGAGTTTCGCCTGCACGTCACTTCACACTCTGTTTATATATCATAAATGAAATCCGGATTGGTAAACAAATTGCTTTTATAAATACCGCTACAGTGGAATTGATCCCAATACACGCAGCCTGAGATAAATTGAGGATGTGTTTGAGTCACTGCAGAAGCACTTCTGTTTGCCTTGTCAGATGTTCGAGAGAATCCAAAGTTTACACCCTCAAAATAAGCAAAGGTTCCCTCTCCCTCCTCGAAATTATGTCCGAGAATAATTAAGTATCTCCATGCTCTATTTTTAACTGTGGTTAAAACTATCTATTGGCATCCAAATTCAAAATTCTTGCTTTAAACATATACAGTGAGGAACCATAAAGAATAGATGACCTGCACTCTTATATTGGTGACAGGCCAACATCTGATTGGGTAGTCAGGTTTGGTGACGTGGCCTTTAATCTAGACTTGCACAAGGCTATAAGGCAATAATTATTAGTTTCAATCATAATTTCTTGATTATATAAATAATATGTAGTATCTATAAAAGACTGGCGTCCTGTTTGCATACCTAGACAAACTCTAGGACAGAATTACTATATATCCATGGACTTATCATTCAGTACAGCCTTTGAGCAAAGCTACCTGTTACAGTACCCAACGTGGTTCACAGCTCATAGTTCCAGTCACTGGCTTGACTGATCCAGACTCCGTTATTTACAGCCAGCCGTGTTATAGCTGTAAGAGTGCTTCCTGCAGCGTGATACAACAGTCACTTACTTATTCCCCAATTTCCATTCACAGAGAAGATGGCTGCAGGTGACGAGGAAGACATCAAGGAAGGTAACTCTGCAACGGGCTGGGCCATAAAGGCCACGTGTATTTTCCTGGCCGCTTGTCTACTGTGTGGGGCAGTCTTCTTCATCGCAAAGAAATATGGATTGTAAGTACTACCTGGATGCGGGGATCCGGGTTATGGCACACACACACACACACACACACACACACACACACACACACACACACACACACACACACACACACACACACACACACACACACACACACACACACACTCACTCACTCACACACACACACACACACACACTCACTCACTCACTCACTCACTCACTCACTCACTCACTCACTCACTCACTCACGCACGCACGCACGCACGCACGCACGCACGCACGCACGCACGCACGCACACACACACACACACACACACACACACACACACGCACACACACACACACACACATGCTTGTCGTAGGAGGCGACTGGTGGTTCGGGTGGTCAGAATTTGTGACTTGGTTGATAACCTGTTATCGTACCCTGACGGTGTGGATAGTTGCTCATAATATCAACCATAGGTTTTTCTTTCTGGTCCGGACTCGATTATTTACAGACCATCATCATATAGTTTGAACATTGCTGGGAGCTGTTGAACAAATAATGTAGATGTAGAAGTTATTTGTATTGCTGACTGATGTTTTACCTGTCTGTTACCATACAGATTATTATGTGAGTAATAGGTCGTTATATGCCGATGTTTAACTTTTATAACTCTCAGTAATCGGTATTATGAGAAACTTCACACGCCGTTTGTTTACGATGACAACCAAGTCACCGAGCCTTTCAGTCAACGTTTAATTACCTACATGATTCATTTGTGCCAGACCACCTCCATGGCTTAGGAGAGCCCTAAGAGCGGAAGGCCGGTGGTTCGATCACGGCCGTGTCATGCCAAAAGATGTTAAAAGATTATACTTGTCACCTTGCCTGGCGCTGCCACACACACAAACACACACACACACACACACTAACACACACACACACACAACCACACATACATACACACACAACACACACACACACACACACACACACACACACACACACACACACACACACACACACACACACACATACACACACAACCACACACACACACACAACACACACACACACACACACACACACGCACACACTCATGCATGCACGTCTCTGTATAAGTGCAATAATCTTGAACTCCATGTCACCTCACGCCATTTGTGCTGTATAATTATTATTACTTTACCTCATTGGTCAATGTGCAACTGAGAATCATAGCAATATACATAAAACGACCAAATGATATGCATTTGGATACACTGTTAAAAACCCGTTTGGACAGAACTAGTCCCAAACAAATGCTAGCTCAAAGATCCGCTCCTAAGATTTGTATTCGGTGGTCAACCTGTGACTTGCACATTGAGTCGTACCCCGGTTACTTTCAGGCCGCTATAAAACACCATCAACTCATGCATTGTAGAAAACCTGTTTGGACAGAACTAGTCCCAAACAAATGCTAACTCTAAGAGCTGCTCCTAAAATGTGTATTGGGTGTCTAATCGTACCACGGTTACTTTCAGGCCGCTGTTAAACACCATCAACTCATTCCCCAAGTAAAAAGTAAAATATCAAAGCCTGTAACAAAATGTTTAAAATTGCAGTGGGAAAAATCAACGACAAGCGGAGAAGAAACCCCCAGAGCCCCCAAACCGTAAGTTAACATTACAGGGAGTGGGTGAGTTGCGTTCAACTCTGGTTCAAACACCATTTCATTACTTCCACGGCCTCTCCGGTTATTGTTAGAGGAAGGCGCAGTGTGTCTCAGTCTACAGTGCTGACGGACTAAGTACGATTATCGACGCTGGCTTGTGATTTTAAACCACGAGAAGCGGATCCTGGTACAACTATGCAGAGTGCATTGCAGCGCATAAGGTCACTTCGGCCATTGGTGATTCTTGTCAATGAACCGGCACCACTATGTACCGAATTGTCTGACAATGGGAGACACGAGCAATACACACGTCTGTGGCGAAACATTTCGCGTCTCAACTTTTGATCTGTTGATCATGGGTTAAAATATCTGATTCGCCCACTTTATGACATTTGTCCAAATAAGTCGTATCATACATAGAACTATGTAACCAAAATATGTCTTCTGCGGTTATTTCTGTGTGCCGAACATATGTAAAACTTGTGAATATTCATTCTAGGTTTCCCTTGCAGTCAAGGTCATGTTTAAATAAATCATCCCATCCCAACGCAACAATGGGAATGCCAGGTTAACATAGACCCTCAATATTCTTCTTAATATGTGCAATATGGATCTGGTGGTCATGTCCTGTGTCTCGATTGACTGCGTGGTATCGTGACCCGATAATGCGACACGTTGTTCATGATATTATCCACTGGTTTAACAAGTCCAGACTCGATCCTTTACAGGCTGCCGTGATATAGCTGAATTATTGCTGACTTCGGCGTTAAGCAGCAAGCAAACCAACCACATCATGTGCTATGTGTTGCCTACATATCATTACAGGCAATATTCCACCCGGTCCCGGAGGTCAAGGTCAGCGGAAGTCGGATTCCGATGTTGAGTCCAACAAAGGGGGTGCGTCACGGAAAGCCAGCAACAAGGGAGTGGCTCCAGACGTACTGCCAGTAACCACAAAACCTCTCTCGAAATGCGCTTCACTCCCAACGGCTGTATCCATAGAAAATGAAAACGATGCTAAAAACACAACTGAGGACAAGGAGCAGGTCAACAAGAAAGAAACCTCAGCGAAAAAGAATGATGATGATATAAGAAAGAACAGCAAAGGATCTGGATGCAATGCGAAGCAAGATGCGGGGAGGGAGAGCAAGGACAGGAAGCAATCAGCGGCTGGGGAACCAAAACCAAGAGAACAGGATGCCGCCATGGGTGTTAAAAAAGAGAAGAAGTCAAGCGTTCTGGACAAGATAAAAGGGGACAACAACTCCACAGTAGAGGCAGCAGTGTTGGGGATAATGATTCCGTCCGAAAAGAAGAAACAAGATAATGAGGTTACAAAGGAAAGGAAAAGAGAAGTGAAAGATCGTGGAGACAAACCAGGGGATAAAATAAAGGATGAAAATAAAAAATGTGATAAGCCATTTGCAAAGCCCGGTGGAAACAAACCAAGGGTTGGCAAAGGAATTGGTTTGATGAATGTTGTGCAACTCAAAGTCGATCAGGAAAAGCAGCCACCAGAACCTGTAAATTCATCAGCAAGAATAGATAGCTCTAAGTCAAACGAGGATGAGCGGGCTGCAAATATAGACAAGGAACAGAGTCAAAAGGCAGGTGCACTCAAATGTGTCTCAAGTATTGCTGCTGACTCTGGTAATGTTATTGGGGTGGCTAAACCCGGTGCAACACAACCGTCAGATGACACTACGGCGAACGGTCAAGACACAAAAAAGAAAGCTAAAACAAAGGCTCGAGTATTGTCTAAAGCTAAAGCCATTGGGAAGATGAAGAAAATAGAGGGGGATGATGTTGATGAAGAAGGAAAAATAAGGAAGAAGAAAACAAAAAAGAACCCTTTAGCCTCTCCAATTGACGATCTACCAACCCCAACTAAAAAGAAGATCCCAGAACTGCCTGAATCAGTTAAGAAAAAGCGCCCGGATCTTCGAGAAGAAGACACGAATCCAATTCCAGACCTTCCCGAATCTGTTAAGAATAAGCCACAATGGGAGAATCCTAAGAAGGACCCAATGAAGAACAGAGTTCCTGGCTTTCCAGATGAAGTTCCGAGTCGGCCCCAGTGGGTAGCCCCTGATACAGATCCTGAAAAGGTGTCTCTTCCTGATCTGCCAGACGAAGCCAAGACCCGACCCGTGTGGTCCGACCCTCTCAAAGGCGCTCCTATCCTACCATCAAATAAGCTCAATCAAGACACTCTATCGGTCAACAATAGACCTGCCTGGAATGACCCTAAAGTAGGATCAATGAAGAACTCAAGCAGGCCGAGAAAGTCAGAGCAGCCTTCAGAAAAGCGCCCTAGTAGCACCTACTCCGAGTCCGCTGAGGCCTATGCCAACGGTGCCCAGGAGCGTCGAGACAGCAACACATCTACAACGGTAAGTGATAACAATCTTGGATAGGGGTAATGAAATTCATGGCTGGGTTGTTTGTGTTTCATATGGAAGTCATGTGTTAACAATAGCGGCCATAATAATACTAATTTTGATTTTCAGAGAATAATATAGATGGGTGTCCCAATCATCTAAGTAGAGATGCATCTTTTAGTCTCGTTAGAATCCTGTGATCCTGTAGCTCTTGAGTTTCAACAAAGTGGTAAGGCTAAAAAAGAAATGTTTCTACGACATCGGTCAAAATATTTGTACATGAAGTATCCTGTGTTATGCATAAAACGCCATGCTCTACAATTCACATAGTATTAAAAAGTCGAGTATAGTATTAATACGTACCAAGTTGATACTCTTGGTAGGAAAAAAAAAAAAATCTCTCATCACTTTTGACTTAAAAAGAAAATGAAAAACATTTACCCATCCCCCCCTCCTCATTTTTATGCAGCCTAAAAGTTTGAGCATTTAGTGGCCAAGTAAAGCATTTTAAAATATCTTGGTGGATATCTGGATGACAATTCCGCATTTGAAGTCCAATGCAATTCCCTATTTTGACGTATATGTTCCCGCGTTCGTTTAGTTGTTTGTTTCTGCCATCTATGGGGCAGGATAGGCTCTCCTTTTCGCGAACATCTAGTATCATCACTATTTGATCCGGGATAGAATAGGTCTTCAGCAACCCATGTTTGCCGTAAAAGGCAACTATGGTTGTCGTAAAAGGCGACTAACGGGATCGGGTGGTCAGGCTCGCTGACTTGGTTGATGCATGGCATCGATCCCAATTGCGTGGATCGATGTCCATGATGTAAGTCACTGGATTGTCTGGTCCAGACTCGATTATTTACAGACCGCCGTCATATAGCTGGAATATTGCTGAGTGCGGCGTTAAACAACAAACCAAACCAATTGTCTGTGTTTATTTATTACGTAATGATGTACAGTAGAAATCTCATTTCTCTTTACGCATACTGATCAGAATGTATCGTATTACTCTAGGCATAAGGCCTCCTCAGAATGAAAATAAAGACTTGAATCTCAAACGCATGCACATGATACAGCAGAGATTTCTTATGACTATCGTCGCTTTAGTCACACTTTGCATTCTTCGTTTCAGAAATCCCTGCCGCCGTTGGCTCTGAATGGACCAGGGGAGGGAGAGAAGAAGAGAGGGAGGAAAAACTTTATGGTCAGCTGACATTTCAGCCACACAATGATCCAGCGTTGCACATCCCATGCATATTCTATTGTGGGTTAAATCCTACATCATGTGATTAAATATAACAATCTCTTAATCGTGCTTTGTAGATCGCATCAAGAGTTGTTGACCGACCGTTTGCCATTTGAAACGACTAATTATGTATAGGGTTCACTCCCAATTGGCAGACATCCCATTCCCATTTGTCAGACGACCCAATCGTCAGACAGACCAGTCAAGTGTGACCAGTGTAACTGCCTGGTCTTACCTACTAATTAATGAGCTGCTCCCAACTGTGGGCAGAGCATGCTACTCCAACTCGTCAAGTGATACATTAACCAGATTATGATTGTGTTTATAAGTTGCGTTTGATCTTTGTCGGGTTGTATGTGTTTTATTTGCAAAGATTTAGAGAAGTTTTTCCAACGATATAGAATGTAGGAAACTCAGTGAAGATTACGAAACAATATCAAATTATACCATTTAGGTAGAGCAAGAACACATTGATAGATTAAACCTCTCCATGACCTTATTCTAATCTCACATGTACTATAGGTACCGTACTATATTACATGAAGTCTAAGTCAGTAAGGTATTACGAAAATAGATATCATATCAATACACAAACAGAAATTATGTGAATACCAAACTCACAATAGATATGTGTACCCTACTCACACACATGAGTTCCAAAGGGGGACGGGTCAGCCGAAATTGCTTAGGCAGAAGGCGACCTCCTAAACACTTAATGCAACTGTATAAAATAAACAACAACAGTAAGGGATCACCACCATGGCTGGTATACGCAGAGTTGAGTACATAGAGTCTCAGAGAGGAACCCCACAAGAATTCCTTGATTGGTTCACTTACTCTAATAATCGAACCAGAGGCCAGACCACACACTGGAGATGTTATTGACTTTTGCAATAATGTAATGAATACTTCAAAAAGTATGATTTCTGGTATTATTTGACGATTACAAGTACATAATAAACCTATCCTGTAAATTCCTCAAAATGTGTGTTTTCTGGTCTGTTCCACATTAAAGAAAGGTAAACAGGTAACTATTACTTGACTAACCAACCTTGACTTATCCTGGTATAAGCTGTCTGATAAATGGGATGTCTGGCAATTGGGAGGTTACCATGTATAGGCATATATTCGCATGACATCACTTTCTTGTTTTCACTGAAAAAAACCCACTCAAAACCTTTCCTTCATGAAAATGTTTATAGTTAATTAAAAACACAAAAACGCTCACGTTTATACATTCGTAAGACAAACCAACATCAATGCCATATATGTATCACAAAATCATCAAATCAAAGGAATCACATCTTCCTGAGGCAAGGGCGTTAACTGACTACTGTCACAGTAACAGAAGTCCAGTTTCCACCCTTGATTCGAAGGTTTCTACTTCGAAATCGACATTTTCCTTGGATATTGTATATGGTTTTATAGCCAGCTATTGGACATTCATACACTCGCTAAGCCCTGTCCTTAGATCAATCCAGGGTTGAATATTAACTAAAGTCAGAAAAAATAACACCTGCAGATCTCCTAACTTCGGAAAAAATTCCTGTGCACGATTTCTCTTTCAAAGTGTAAAAATACTGGTCCTATTGTAGATGGTAGGTTCATGTTCATAGTTTGAAATATGTTAACAAATATGTTATCGTAGCCGGTCAGATAAAGGACAAATAAGGTCATCCCTTTTTAACTCTTATCCAATCCAGGGCCCAGATGTGAGATTCTCTGCAAGACACGTATCGAGATTAGGAAAGATAATGTCTCCTTACGTTAATCCAAGCCAGACTTGTCAGTATATGTCAACATATGTATGTAATGACTTCTGATGTTGTATCACATATAGTAAATAGGTGGGGTGAAATGGGGTTTAACGTTGCTTCCATGATAATTGCACTTATATAGCGACGTGCATGACTGTGTGTGGCTGCTTGTACTAGTCCGGATTAATGCTGATTTTATAGTGCTTGCTGCTTGGGATATCATGCCGCAGTTTAACATGAGTACCCCACTCACAGTATACTGACTCCTAGCTGACAAGTACTAGTTTTAGCCCCTTAATGCAGAGCGTCAGGCAGGGTAACAACAAGTACCATTTTATAACGCATTTTGTACGCCGCTGCCGGGACTTGACACCCGGATCTTCCGCTTTCTGGGCGGAGGCCCTACCACTAGACCCCGGTGGCGGTCTGGTAAATACGTTCTTGTTTGTTTTCTTGCTAATGAAGATAGAGTTGACTTCTTTATTTTCATGATTATATTTTAGTAATTATTTCAACTTTTGTATTCCTTCAGCGCAATGTTTCTGTACAGTTGCTTTATCACTATCAAGAAGGGCCTGTCTTCATTGCTTCTACAGCCTATGAAATGTCACTTAAAGATATCACTC